GAGAGTGCGATGGCTTCCAGGGTCACATCCGGGTTCCTAGCGAGGATCCTGCAGATTCTTGCCGTTTCGGGCATTCCCTCCACTTCCTCGCAAAACTTCCTCCAGCTTTCCTGTTTCGCCCTAACCACAAAGTCTCTATATTCCTTCTGTGCCCTCCTAGAGAGCTCCCAGTCGGATTGGCGGCCCGTGTTCCTAGCTCTATTCCAGGCCCTGTGAGCCGCCACTCTGAGACCCTGCAGTCCAGGGGTCCACCAGGAAGTTCCTCTATTATTTGTAACCGCCCTTTCGGGGCAATTACTTTCGTAGCAGTTTACCAGAGACCTCTGCAAGTAGTCCACACAGGTCTCCAGTTCTTCTTCTGTCCCGTGCCTCTTAGGGAAGCCTCTGAGACTGCTGGCCAGGTCTTCCCTATAAGAGTCCCACTTGGTTCTCCTCTGGTTTCTGAATTGATCTCCTTCCTTCTAGCCTTAGTTATCCTGAAGGTGATCTGCCTGTGGTTTGAGAGCGAGGGCTCCGTCGAGACCCTCCACTCCACTACCTCCTGTAACAACTGCCTGGAACAGACAGTGATGTCGAGCACTTCTCTTCTCGCTATAGTGCAGAAGGTGGGCTCGTCTCCTGTGTTAAGAATCTCCAGATCCGTAAATGCTAGGAACTCCAACACTTTCATTCCTCTTTCATTGGTGTCCGAGCTTCCCCACACAGTGTGATGCGCGTTAGCGTCACATCTCATGATCAGGGAAAGCCGTTTCTCTTGGCAGTATTCTGCCAGTTTTATTACCGGTGCAGGTGGCACCGCCTCCCCCTTGTCATGAGAGAAGTAGGCCGAGCACACAACCATTTTCTTTCTGTCACCGGAGTCAGCAGTGAAATCCACTTCTACAGCCGCAACGTCCCTGGAACACAGGTGAGGTATTAGCTGGGCTTCCATACCCTTGACGGCCACGCAAGCCCTGAACCGATCCACTGATGGGGCCCTCAAGAGCCTACCGCAAGCCGCCAAGCCCTTGATGCAACCCCGGATTACCCAGGGTTCTTGCATTAGTGATATGCATGTTTGCTTCCCAGCTTGTTGCCTGGCCAAAACAGCTGAGGCCCCTTTGCTGTGATGCAGATTAATCTGGGTGAAGGCTACCCCTCCCGATCCCGCCATTTAACTACGAGACCGTTTTAGGGGGCTCCTCCTTATCCTCCCTTACCCCCCCTTGGGCCCCACTTACTCGAAAGGCAATCCTGTCGAGCCCAAAGAATGGTTTGAAGTCCAGCATCCTCAATTTGAGGACACTAGACTCTGGGACACCGAGGACTAGGTTCCCACCTTCCTTAGTGGCCCCTACTCCCTCCGCGAACACTTTCCAGCTCCCGGTGACAAGACCCGGGTTCTGCTTCTCCAGCCGCTTCAAGACCGTGGCCGCGCCCTCGGGAGGTCCCGGGACCCAAACCATCGCCCTGTGCTGCCTTTGAAGCGCGTCCATGCCCATTACCTTGAGCTTGGCGTCCTCCCACGGAATAATGCCGCCGATCCGCCCCACGAGCCAACCCAGCGATGCCTCGTCCGCGCATCTTACCACCGCTGCACCGCTCCTTAGAAAGGTGCTGTAGAATCTGGGCACCGGACCCTCTTGGATCCCGTCGATCTCTTTCGAGACCGCACCCCTCAACAGAGTCAACTGCTCTGCAGTGATCTCCGCCTCGGGGTAGCTCTCCGCCGCAATCGCCCTCGCCAGAAGGTCAGCAGCGTTCACATAGGCATGGTGCCCATCATGAGCCCTTTGCCTCTTCAACGGACGGCCGCCCGATGGAGGGGTTTCATTGGAGCCCTTCCGACGTTTACCATTGGTGTGCCCCTTCACCACCTCCGCCGGCGTACAAGGGGGAGCCACGGGAAGAGAGCGAGCCCCTTCCAGAACCCCTGCTCTCATCCGCTTCGCCCTCCTTCTTTCGGCCCCGCACCGGTTTTTCTTAACTGGAGGTAAAGCCTCCTGCCGCGCAGCCGGGCCGGCTTCACTTCCGGAGTCCTTAAGGGTCCCGTCCGTCACTGCCGTCCCAGCCCCTTTCCTTGGAAACCCGTCACGCGAGCCCTTCTGATTTCCCATTTTGTCCTCTGAATTTATTATGTCAATATCCATTATGGTCCCACGAGTAGGGAATTACACGGTCCGTCCACGCAGAGTCCCGCATGCGGCTAGATATTCTGGGGTTTCGCCCGGTTCCCCGAGGCATCGTTCGCGACACTGCTCCCCCAGTGACATGCAGCCATCGCCACGATGGCTTACAACTTGGCTTGGGGAGCTGGTCCGCGGCAACGGTCTTCCCTTACCCTCCACAGGGTTTTACTTCCGTGGGGCCAGGTTATAACCGCCACTACCCAGCAGCACTGAGTCTCCTCAGAGAGCTCACACCTACTGGGCGTCCTCCTATCCGCCACCTTGGAGACGCGCCCGGTGAGTAGCTCAACCCCCGGGCTGTTAGTTACTAACAATAAGTTCTATTTTTGATAGCGACTAATTTTTGTTTCACGAAGCGCACTACTACTGAAGAAATGTGACGAACGGTGTAAAACTCTCGACGAAATGTCGATGAAATGAGATAAGAAACTGTAAAAAACTTTGTCGGAGTGACTCGGACACGGGTTTTTATACCCTTTTTATGGAAGTGGATCCATTTAAAAAAATCTTAGGTTTTCGAGGCGGGGGTGAAATAGAAGTTAGTTTTACAAGGAAATTTTAATGCGTAAGAGGATGGCATCGTTTTTAGCTAATAGGATTAGCGGTTAGATGACCATGTCTCTTATGATTGAGATGGGGAAAACAGGGCCCTAACGAATGAGGAGCAGCATCGTTTTGGGTTCATATATGGTGGGAGTCAATTTCAATATTACATATTCTGGTTGGTATTGATATGCATTGGTGAGGTCCATCTCGATGCCTTTAGGGTATACGATAAGATGGACCGGTGGATGGTTTGTTCTAATTCTAGGCCTTCTGATTGAAGGGTTGAAACTCGGCGGAATACAGGTTGACAACGTCTTAGGTCGCGGGTCTAATAAATTTGACAATTTTATGACGGTCATGTGCTTTGGTGTCGCGTAGAGAGTATAGCTAATGTATCTCGGTTTCCCAAACCTATTCAACATGGGCATGGTGTCAAGTTTGACGCCTTCTCGGCGCTCGACTCAGGTCAGTCGTTGCGCAAAGCTATCCTATTATCATGGCGCGGTGGCGGTCACACGTAGTGTTCGCACCTTTACGCAAGACTCAATCGGTAAGATTCACGAACCGATGAAATGGTAAAAGATAAAAGAAAAATAAGATAACCGAAATTATAACAATGGATGGGAAGTTATACGAACCGTATAGAACCATTTGAGTCTCTTAATAATAAATATATTTAAATTATCTGGATATTCTTCACGAACTGTATCCTTAACGAATAATTAAAGGTATATAAATTCTTTTAATAGTAATCATATTTGAATTATTTAAATGTGTATATAAACGGATCAACCCGCTTAAAACTTAGAAAATAATTAGTAACAACGAAAGAATCGTATTTTAATAAATAATGCTTCATTTAAAAGTGAATAAAAGAAGGAAAACGGGGTAACATGAAAACATGAATGTTGCAATTTAATATAAAATTGTAACCAAAACCGTTTTCTAATAAATAATGTCTCAGTAGCATAGCTAGGAGAGTTCTAACTCAGGCATCTGAGGGGGGGGGGTGCGGGGAAGAGGAGGTATTGGATTACGCTGCGTCAGCATTTTTGGAGGGGAGGGGAGCATCGGATTACGCTGCGTCAGTACTTTTGGAGGGGAGAGGGGTATCGGATTACGCTGCGTCAGTGTTGGGAGATTTGTACACTTTGGCTTCCATTTCTCACCAACCGAGAACTGCTTACGTCACGTATCCGTGTGCGCTCGGCTTTCGGCTTGTAGAGCGAGTGGACATAAGTATTGCGTTTTCTTCCCACCAAGTCTAGCAAACTGGTTTTGAGATGACGTCGCGCGACTTTTTCTCCTGTTAAGATTTGGCAGCGTTGGCAGCATACGAATATGATTTTTATATTAATGTATAAAATAAGAATAAACTAATAAAAATTACATATTGTTAATAAATTTTCTATTATAATAAAAAATTATATGTATCGCAATATATTAACAAAACAAGTAACATTTCTACAATTTTAGTAAAAAACAATTTTTTTTATTAAAACATTAACATGAGTTAATTGCGAAAAATAAGCTTAGGAATATTTAATATTTTATGTATGTTATTAATTTATCTATATGTTCTAATTTTAAGTATGAGTGAAGTTTACAACTACAATTACAATAATATAAATGATTAAAATTAATAAATATATAAGGCTCTAGTGATTAACAAAATCAATTAAAATCAGTAGGAGCGTAAAGAGCCACAATGCTAGTTCTTCGTGCGAAGGTTATAATATATTAGTTTAAAATTGTTTACATCAAATCAAACGTTTCTGCCTGCCATCAGGCCTTTTTCAGTGTACATTAATAAAAATAAAAAGAGAAATTCGCTCGCAAAAATTAACATAAAGTAAAAGATGTGGAAGACGTATAGATAATCCTTTCCAATCAAATTGTTGTTCGGTAACAAATAAATTAGGACTGCAATAAATGCAATAGAATACAGTGAAAGTTCAGATTAAATAAAAGTAAGTGGACCGGAGATTGAGAACTGTTATATACATACTTGTATTAATTTCGTGTTGATAAAAAGCTTGTCCACGTAAAGGGGACGAGGTGGAAAAGCAAAAAACAGATAATCTTTACATCTTAAATGTTGAGATCTTAGTGATAGTGATTTGATACAGAAATTATAAAATTTAGAGTGATGGTAGGAAAGGAGGGAGGAGGGAGGGAAAAAAGAAGTAAGTAGGGAAGGAGAGAAGGTGGGGGTAAAAGGAATAGATAGAGGAAAAGGAAGGAGAAGTATTTTTTATAAAGGAGAAAATTAATTAATAATAGGGAGATAGGCATCAGGTAAATAATCCGTGTCGTTTTGATTGTTAAGGCCTGCGTTTTGTCTTTTAATAAAGGTCATTTCAGAGATCAATCTTTTTGAATAAGAAGGTTCACCGTCTAAGATTTTTACTTTATCCCAATCAAAGTCGTGGGAGAAATCCATTCTATGCTTAGATATGACTGAAGGAGAACAGCTTTTCTTATTGATGTCATTCTTATGTTCTTTTAATCTGGTGTTAAGCTGTCTTTTAGTCTGTCCAACATAAGTCATCTTGCAATCACGACACGGAATCATATAAACTACTTGGCAATGTGAAAGTTTGCTTCGACTGTCTTTGCCTGTTTTTATGAAGCATTTTAAATTGTTCGGGATTGAACAGGCTAATTTAAAATTGAAGGTTCTAGCAATAGAATTAAAGTCTTTATATATAGATGAGATGTAGGGAATAGTTAAAAAAGTCTTCGAGTCATTCTTGTCAGAGTCATTGTTGGAATCAACTGCTATTAAATTATTGTCAATTTTTTAATTGTGGATTAGAACTTTATTCTTTGATGTATAGTCGAATAAATAAAATTTAAAGCATAACAATTATTTAAAAGGATGTTAATCGCCAATGTAAAATTCTTGTTGTGAAATTTTGGGTGGAAAAGTAAAAAGATCCTATCAGTCAGACTTATGATAGTCCCCTTCTTTTGTGAAGTAGGGTGGTGGGAATAAAAATTTAGGTATCTTCCAGACGAAGTAGGTTTTTGATACCAGTCAAAAATGATTCTATTGTTTTCTAAAATTATGGTCACGTCAAGGAAGTTTATGCGATTGTTACCCCAATTTCAACTGTAAAATTTAGTCTGTTATAATAAGAATTAAAAATGTCAGTGATTAAATTTATGGAATTGATAGGTGCAGCCAAAATTATGTCATCTACAAATCGGTAATAAAAGGGCAGCTTGAAAGGCAACCTATCAATCGTTTGCTTCCAGATCCTGAAGAGTAAGGTCGGCAATTAATGGAGATAAAGGAGGCCCATGGGAGTACTGAATGTTTGTTTATAAATTTTGTTATTAAAATTGAAAAATGTGGAGTTCAAAATAAAATGTATCCCCCTTATGAATTCATTAAGAGGGATGGCGGTATTAAGAGAATTTAGATTCCATCTTTTGGAAATGCTTTTAATCGCTAATTCAATGGGGATGTTCGTAAACATGGATACTACATCTAATGATATTAATATAAATTCATCTTTAATCTCCAGACCCTTCAATTTCTTGACAAAATCAAAACTATTTTTAATATGACTAGCTGGAAGAGGTAAACTATTGTAAATGATTTTATGGAAATAAAGAGAAACAGCGTATAATGGGCTATTAATGGAAGAAACTATTATTCTCAAAGGGCAACTGGGTTTGTGAATTTTTGCCCACAGGCTCTAGGCAGGGCACAATCACTCGTCATAAAATGTCTATAAGTATTGTCTTCAATAAAGTTATTTCTTTTCCACCTGGTTAATAATTCGCGTAAATTACGAGTAAATATTTTACAAGGATCTTTTTTGTGCAGAGAATAGTGTCAGAATCGGATAACATCAATTCTAAATCGTGAATATATTTATTCTTATCAAGAGCTACAGTGATGTTTCCTTTATCTGCCCGGGTAATAATGACATCCGAATTTAGTTTCAAAAATTGTTTGGTAGATGACCACCATGAAATTAATTTTATATCATTGAAATCATAAGTGAGTCCATTTCTGTAAAATCTTTCAATTATCGGAATGCATTTATTTCTGATAGAAGAAGTCTCCTCATCAAATTCATATAACTTTTTTTCTAAGCTCTTAATAAGATGTATAGACGATTTATCTTTATTAGAGATCGTGATGGGCATCCCAAATCTGTCCCCCAGTTGTCCACAAGAAGTTTTACTTTTTTAGGGAATTCTAACATAGTTAGATTGACGAACCAATTTTCTTTGATGTTTCCAATGTGAGAAGACTCTCTTGGAAGGAGTCGCTCGTAATATCGACCTAGATTTTGTTGTTATTAGAGATGTTGCAAAGGCCAAGTTCAAATACAGATTTGTTATTATGCTCAACGTCACGATCCCGATTATAGAAATATCTAATAGGTTGTATTTTA